TTGTCCTCTGGAATCAAAATCTGCTTCATAAAAGTGAAAAATTTTCAGCAACAGCCCAAAGTAATTTCAATCATGATTGTCCAGACAATTGACCATTATTACTAATTTTATGTGATGAAAATGGCGAATACACTCACGCGGTAAGACTGGGATCTAATAAAATTTGGAAACGGCGGGAAAATTTCAAGGATGCGTTTTCGTCAATTTTTCTAAATTGATTTTCCCGCCGTTTTCAAATTTTATTAGATCCCAGTCTTACCGCGTGAGTGTATTCGCCATTTTCATCACATAAAATTAGTAATAATGGTCAATTGTCTGGACAATCATGATTGAAATTACTTTGGGCTGTTGCTGAAAATTTTTCACTTTTATGAAGCAGATTTTGATTCCAGAGGACAAAGATACATTTATTGATTTCGAGGGTGAATATGAGAGCCTTCGTACCGTTGTGATAATTAAATTGGCGACCCCCGCCGAATCTAAGGCTGAACAGTGAGTGCATCTTTGACGGGATTATGAACCATTCCTATATTTAAGGTAAGTATATAATTGATTTTGTCTAAATGTGAAATGTCTATAGCGTTTTGGGTGGGGAGAGGTAAAAACCTAATTAACCTGAATCTCGACACGAAATTTACCGATCATTTGCGAGGTGTTTTTTTAAATTATTTTTTGCAATCGAACAGTGGCGCCAATATAGGTTAAATAGCAACGCATGATGATGAACTGGACAAAATATAAAGTGGAAATTGGCTTTGTAGAGGCATGCAATGTTTTTTGTAGACAATGTGGTAAAAACACGCTGAAATGGCGAAAATGGGCCTAATTCTAGCTGCGAGGCGGTTTTGTTGTGAGAATCCTGTGTGCTGATTGGCTTAGAACATGGCAGCGAACAGAGCTCTCAGCCAATCAAAGATTTGACTGCTATGCTGTAATCACTTACCTATTAGATTACTAGCAGAAGCAACTTCTTTGCTACCAAATACAGTTATAATTTGTGCCAGGGAAGACAAATCGTCCTTGGCTTTGAAGAATGGATAACGGCCGCTTAGAAATGACAGCAAGATGATGCCTGCAGACCATATGTCGACAGCTAAAAGGGAAAGTTTGGAAAGTTGCAAATAATCCTTGTTCCCACAAGATCATAAAATTGTTGGTTAGAGTCAGCGACAGTGTGTGTTGGTATCCCGACTTTAATGAGAACACTTCCTTGCGATCGTTACGACTGCGCCGACTGTGAATCACAAGGGTCGGGAGAGATGATATGATTTTACTCTTCTGGACTTCTGCGACTCTTCCTATCAATAAAAACACTAATGGGAACACGGGTTTCCTACGTCACCGATATATTATTGTTTAAAGAAATAGTAACTCTAATAAATTAGCCGATCATAGGAAAGTTATTTGGCGTTTGCTGTTGCTTTGTTGACAAAAAATGTTTCCCCGATGAATGGGAGAAAATATTTCCCCGATGAATGGGAACACTTTTTCTTTGATTGTTATGGAAGATGAAAGAAAAGATCGCTAAGGAACCATTCCTGAATAATGCGATTTCATGGGAACCAGGCTAAAATAAAGAACAATAGCATATCGCAAAATGCTAACGCAATGAGATTGCTCTTTTAAAAACAAAGTCAAATGCTCTTTTAATGTAGTGCTGGAATAAGAGAGTATCCTTTGAACCTTTAAACGCGCAGGACCCAAACAGGACTCCTTGGCAGAGCAGCAATTTTATTTTTTCTAGACACATTTTTAATAAGCTATCAATTTTTTAATTTGTTTTGCTCTTTCTTTAAGCCTATTGATAAATGATAAAAAAACAACTGTTTTTGTCGCGTTGAAAAACATTTTCCCATCTGCCTTTTCTCTTTTCAGTGGCAATGAAATAAATTACAATTGAAGTAAATTACTCGATCTATACTGTTCTCGCTAAGACATGTGACAAAAAAAAGAGTGGCAAACCTGTCGTTTGATTGGGTAATTTCATCAAAATTTCCGGCGATCTAAATCCTGGTGTGCCAGCGCGAGGAGCATTTTGTCCAGATCTAACAAAAGCAATTCAAAAACAAGATGAAATGGAACCACAGAAAAGTTTACAGCAAAAATGTAAAAAATAATTACTCAGAATTTAATTGCTGTTGAATAACAAATATGAGAAACACTGTAAACGTAGCAAGAAATCATATGAGGATAAATGGAAGGAGTTCAAATTGATACTGTGGTGGGTAAACAATTACATTCGAAAGAAATAACACCCTCAGAGCAACCGAACGTAACCCAAATAGCACTGGCTTTAGAAAGAAGGGATCCTGTATGTTGTCTTGATATAGAAAATGCATTTTATTCAATCACAACGGAATAATACCTGGAACAGCAGAATGAACAAACAGACGTGTGTGAATGGCCTGGATGGTGACCTATTTTACAAAGGACACCAGTCCTCAAATTAGACTCCGGTCGCAGTCTCGTGTTCTTGGCCGAATACTTGTCTCCTCGTGCTATACTGTTTTTGGCAGCGATCTTTGAGGCCTCGTTCTGAGAACTACGCTCTGTATTTAGCTTAACTTTGGCATGGGTCCTTGCCCTAGTGTTGGCTGATGCTGGACTATTATCTTCTATAAAAAGATAAATCAGAGACTATTATGGATTCATATCTATCAATATTTATATATATATATACAGTTTTTAGTTTCTGGCTGTCTGATGATTGTGTTGCAATAGTTCAGCGAGTAAAAAGTTTGGTACAATTCCAAGCCGATCTTAAATCGGACAAAATTAACGTAGGAATCGATCACAAGAAAGTCAAATTCGATTTTTAAACGTTGGATGTTTGCTATTTTAATATATTTTTGAACCACAAATTTTTGAGCCACAAATTTTTGAGCCACAAATTTTTGAGCCACATATTTTTGAGCCACATATTTTTGAGCCACAGATTTTTGAGCCACAGATTTTTGGACCACATATTTTGAGCCATAAATATTGGAGCCATATATTCTTGAGCCATATATTTTTTAGCCATATACTTCTAGTTATATATTTCTAGCCATATCACGATGCCTGGTAATGAAAAACATCTTATTCTGCCAATAAACAAATATAATGTGACTTTTTGTTCTTATGTACCACATACAAAGATTCTGAAGTTGTTCCAACGAGAATGCAGCCTCCTTTTTTGGAAAAAGCAAAGCAACTTCCATTTTGGAACAAGGCCACGATGCATTGACAAGAGCACCCCTAAAATCATTGTGGAAACTTCTCGTGCCTTTTTCCGTTTGTAGTACGAATTTCCAGTTTAAGGGGCTTCAAGTTTCAAATTTCGTTTTTTAATTAAGAATTTTCACGCAGGTTAAAAGAGACAGTCACGGGATGAAGATTTGTTCGATTAAGTATCCGTCATATTAAATATTTTAAAACAAAAATGAATTTCGGCAAAACATTTAACAAATGGTAATGCGCCCTTGTCACAACACTCTTGCCACAGTTTGTAAATTTGGAGTTATATATGAAGTTATATGTCACAAATGAACGGTATTTCAAAAAATAAGCTTCGTCAAGTCGTTTAGATCCTGAAAAGGAATGCGGCTAACTTCGCGATAATAGAGCATAGGAGTTTGTCCCATAAATCAAATATTTTTGGACAATAAAGGTTGAATATCAATATCAAATATCAGTGCCAAGAACTCGAGGTGTAGAATAGAAAAGTTCTCGTTCTCGAATCCAAGACGGCATCAAAACAACAGGTCACGGTAAATAGGCGTCCTTTTCAATGAGTTATCAGCTTCAGGCAACCATGGTCTGCAACTTGCCTTTGATGGGACCCGTGTTCCAATCAGTACAAGGTTACTTTCGTGAGTCGATGCATTTGGGCAAGCCGTAAATACTAGAATCATCCCATGGGGGATTAGCAATTTATTTTACTTAATTGGTGGGCGCTTATTGGAAGGGGGGAGTTTAAAATCTTCCCCATGTTGCCATAAAACGCAGAATGTTTTTCAGAAGTGAATCAAAACATTACGACCAATGCAACTGCTGTTGTGACCGGTAAAAAGTGTCAATTTGGCTTGGTTGCTTTTAATTGCAAGCACGTTCTGTTATTGGCATCTGCATCCAACCTGAGCTACGTAGCATCTACGTAATTTGCAACAACATTCTTCTCCTTTCCATTTTTTTTATCTGAGTTTTAAACTGGGCAAAACTTGATGACTCTTTTATTTCTGTGGATAACTTATGCCATAATTTCTTCCTAGATATGAAATGGTTCTTATTCCAAAGGTGGTAATTCTGACCTTTGGAAAATGCATGTGGTTTGCGTTCCTTTGGCTGTATTATTCCTTTTTAGGTGGGCTTAAACAAGGGGGTCAACTCGAAGATTTACGTTGTACTTTCACTTAATTGTGACTAATGTCTTTGATTTTTCTTTTCATGCGGAAATCGTTGGCAGAAAAAAAACAAATTCACTTTTCTACGTCCCGGAGGTTTCGATTCTAGGGGTATGAATTCGAGGATGGCTCAGTTGTTAGAGGCGCTGACTACAGACCCAAGGGCCCGTGGTTCGAATCCCTGGCAGGACCAAACTGTCACCCAGAGTGAGGAGAGTCGCCAGCTCTCTGTAATTCCAGGCGTAGGAATCACGAGGTGTGGTCACATCGAGAGGAAGGACCAGGACACTGCTCGATAAGCATAGCTTCTCAGTGTCCTAAAAACTACCTCCGGATGCTTGGTAGCAACAAATACAAACACAAATAGAATTCGAGGATGCAAAAAACATTCATTGTGTCACTTTGATTAAAAAAACCTACATTTCATGAAGACCAAGAAATAAACAAACCTGATAACATTCCATGTGTCCCAGGAACTTGCATTGCAAGCCCGAAATCGACAAGTGAATACCTATGAACGAAATACCACCCTAATATTAATCAATTTTGTTGGTGAAATATACCCTATTGCTGTATACTGTGCAATAGGCGGTAAACTGCATATAACAGTTATGCATCAAAGAAAAAACATTTATTTCATCGCCTTTGATAATATTCCAAACTTAACGACAATAATAATAATTTAAATTCTTTGAAGACGGTAGACCTTCAGTCTAGGCTGACTGTGAAAAGGCTGAGCAAAAAATACTTTAATTGCCAAAATACTTAATTACTAATTACAATTAACAAAATATCGAAAAATTCTGATAGTCAATTTTCACCTTTTAGTTGTTCTTGAATGAAGGAAATTACTCGGTTTGACATCTCTATGAATGATGTTGTAACTATGAACATGCGCAAGTGCTGCAAATAAGTTCTTCATGTAATCTCTTATTTCATTGGTATTCAACCGTCTGAAAAATGTCTGCAAAAAATGAAAATACTTTTTACTTAAAATGAAAAAACAACATGCTGAAAGCATAACCCCTAACTATGAGCCTGATATTTGCAAAATCCAAAGGTTCATTGTTGAAAAGGCTATTTTACATAAACGCCGTATTTTCTCGAATGAACCCCGCCCGCAGATAAACGCCGCCCTATTATGAGCACTGCGCCCTCTGATACCATTTGTGAAAAGTCAACCATTTGTAATAAACGCCGCCCTCTTTCAAACTCCATACCAAAACAGAAATAACGATAGCTTATACGCCTACTATTCGAAAGCTATGAAAGTTGTTGTGTCATAGAGACGAGGACTCTGACGGAGACAGGGATATTGATATTCCTTGACATTTCCATAACAAATCTTTTGTGAACTACTTCTTACGTGCTTTTGTGAAAAGAGGACATTGCTTGAAGTCTGTTTTTATATTTTTTCATCGCACTTTTCTTGTCATTTTTCATTTGAAAATTTTAAATTTTTATAAACATCGCCCCCTGATAAACGCCACCCTCTATTTAAGGCTGCAATTAATTCCAATTAAAAAGTTAGATTTTGTCTTACGCCCCCCAGCGTTTTTTTAGAGGAAATACGGTAACATACCATTATAATAGTTGAGGTTAGAAACTTTAAACCAGTGGCGGACACTTTGGGGGGGGGGCAATACTTTAGAGGACAATGGTCTTTTGTTCTAAAACAATGGGAAATGTGACGTCATCTTATTAAAACAATAGGCTTGCTCCCCCCAATATTTGATCAAGTTTCCGCCCCTCCTTTAAAACAAGAAATATCCTGTAACTGATGCAAAAAATGAATGTAGCCATGTGAAAAATAATCCAAGAAGAAAAGCCATGATCAAAAACAATTCAGTATGAGAGCCATGATAAAAAACACGATTTTCCTTTTAAAAAAAAAATCTGGTATGTATAAATTTTGTGGAAATGTTGATTACCACACAAGATTGTCTTTTTTGAAAAAGATGTAAATTGCTCCACTCAGAAAAGCAGCTTGGGCTCTGGTCGCATGGTAATTACCGCATTTGATTCCATTTGGTTCAGTGTGAGAAAGAAGAATGGCATGGTAGTGGTGATAGCATAGGATTGAATAAAGTCATTAAATCTGTTTACCTGAAACTTGTCATGTTTGAAATATGGCAGGATAAAAGCGATGTGATCATTATTTCTCAAAGTTGTCTTGACTCCAATGATGTTATGCTTCCCTCTAAAAACAATTATAAAATGACAGATTCAGTTGAACAAAATTTTAACTTGACTAATTTTGGTCACTTGCAGCTGAAAACAAAAAAAGGTTTGCAATATGCAGATGCTAGCTAGATAGTTTTGACACCAGGTTGCATTTTACCAATTGAAAACACTTTCATGCCTCTCATGGAAAGGGGCTCTGTCACACATGATAACTCTAAGCTGAATGAACAGAGCCCCAAAATGGCTCTTAATCAATAACTGACAAAAAATGTCAGCAAGAAGCAATTGAAAAAAAGCACATTTGTAATTTCAAATTGTGGGGTGGATACAGAGTAAGAACACTATTATTAGCAATGTAGTAGACAAGAGTCATGGTCCTCTAATGCTCATATTTTTGTATGGCATTGGCCCTCTGTGCTAAGACAAAGATAAAATTCTAGGAGATCAGTTAAACACTCTGCTTCTATGAGTGGCTTTAAAATGTCCTCCCATAATTGCTTTCTGGTGTGTGGCCCAGCTTTCTACTGCTAGCATTTCCACAAAACTTTTTCAGGTATGTTCTTATCAAATCAACTAGAAAAGAAAACTTTTACATTGAGATTCACTATCGCTTTACTAAATTAGTCCTGTGAAAGACATACCCCAGTTTCTGCAAACATGACAGCTCATTCCTCACTCTTACAGGTGAACTTGTTGGCACTATATGCTTTATGGCTACTATTTCATCTGGATATGACTTTAATTGTGCTAGATAAACTTTGCTGAATGTTCCTGCAGTCAAAAGCGAAGACAAATGAGTTTTGTAAAATTAACCTACGTTAACAGAAAAATAAAATAAAAGTTCACAAGATTTTCAAGCCAGGGAGTTACTTTCTAGGTTTGTGGCTATACTAAGGCAGGGGCGGCGGGCAGTGCTATTACCGTTATTACTGTAATAACACTTTTTCCAAAGTCTTTATCAGTTTGATGCATTCGGCAAAGGCTAGACACAACCAATGACGAAGAAATAATATGGTATCTGTCCTCTATTCATCTGGAGGGGATGATAATTACCTGCTAATCTTTTACCACAGGAAGCCTATTGTGTTTCTCAATGGTATTTCAAATCGCTCAAAGCTAGTTCGAGGCTCCCGGTCTCATTATTACTTTCGCGTTTCTAATAACGGAAACAGCAAAGTCTTTGTCACAGGACTCACAGATGACGTAAGATTCAATTGTTCTTGGTCCTTGAAATAAAGGAGCCTAGCAGCCCCGTTATTACTTCTGGGATTCTAATAACGCGGCCATTTACCTTTTGCCAGTGCTGTTTTATGATTTTGCTTGTAAGTTAGCTGTTTCAAAATGAATCGTGTTGTGGAAGATCAAGTGAATGACCATCGTCTGGGTGTTCAAAGTGTTATTATTTTGTATCTCTAATTATTTTGAAACAGGTGGAATTAACTCACTAGCAACGTCTCGAACTGAAAGACCGTGCCAAATACATCTCGTCATGTATTTTTCTATAATAAATTTTTAGCCTGCATCCTTTCAAATTTTATTTGTACATTTGTAAACTGTAGCTATTCAAAATGTTGCAAGTTGCTTATGTAAAGGCATTTAAAATGAATGATGAACTGAACTGAACCTTGCAAAACCCCTATACCCCTCCAGCTGAGGTGGTTCAAAATTCCTTCATAAAGAAATTGTTAATTTTCCTTTTTCGTGCATCTTCCATACGTTTGAAAAAGTAATACCAAAAAGGATTTACTCCCAGCCGCCCCTGTACTAAGGATGCTATGTGGTCCATCTATTATGAATGACAAGAAGCCATCCAGAAGCTCCCAGTTCAGAGCAGGGGGTAGCAAGAGAGGGACAGGGGGGAAGAGGGCATGTGTGCCTGGGCCCTCCCAATATTCTAGAGGGTCCAAAAACCAAAACTTTTGCAGATGATATTGAATTTGAAAATGTGCATATTATGTTATAATAAATTGGGGAATGATTGATCATCAACTTCTTTTAAAATCAGGAAATACTAAACATATATAAATATTTCAACTTTCCATAAATCTAAGAAGGGTGGTACTTTTGTATGAAAATATAAAATATAAAAACCAATAAAGGTAGCACCACAACATGAAACAGGTCAATTAATTAATTCTATATGGCCTAAAGTAAGATTGGAGAAAATTACCTTCTCCAACTTTGGAAAGAATGTCAAAATTTTCTTTGATAACAGGGAACTTTTCTATAAGGTCCCCAGACACCTCACTGCTGTATGCTTCACCTGGAAAGAAAAAAATGATTAGAATACAGAACTTTTTTGGATCAGTTTTCAAATCCACAATTTGTAATTACAGTAGAATCCCGTTATAACGTACTCGGTTATTACGTACTTTCGGATATAAATTACTGGTGTGCTTGGTCCCGGCAAAAGGTGTGCTTGGTTTTAGTCAACTTTTACTTACCCTCATTACAACATACTTAGGATATAACGTACTTAATATGCTGGTCCCTTAAAGTATGTTATAACCAGATTATAAGTTTGAAGCCTTTAAATTATTGGAATTACACTGAAGATAACGGTGAACATAGTGTCATATGTTCCTTACGGCTTAAAAGTCTTTCTTTTCTTTCATGTTCAAGGCGATACATAAACAATCTAGTACAAAAGGGAGAAATTTTCCACCCCCCTTTCCCTTAATACAACATTTTGCAATCAACGGGGATTAGCGTCATATGACTTTATGGTGAACAGAAAATTTTATAAACAAAGCACATATATAATTGGGCATTTAATCTTTCTTGGAGTGCATTAACAATCATCAATAAAGTTTGTTTTCATTTGATGTTACCTTACACCAAATTATCTTAAAACTCAATTATCAATACCTGGAGTAATCGCTTGTGTAAGAGAGAACAAGCAAGAACTTGGCCACTTGCGTGGGCTATTTCGTCTGAAAAGACCTGTTACTGTCTAAATAAAAACTAAGGAAACCCTTTTACATGGTCTATTCCTTAGTCTATCACATGGTCTATTACAAAAGGGAGAAATCAAGCCTTCCTATTTCTAGGTCTTTGCTCTCCTATTTCAAATGGAAAAATGTAAACCTATGAGGCAAATATAACAAATCATATGGAGTACCCCAAAACTCTGCAAACTTTCTGCAACAGCATACCAAAAAACAATAGAAAGCTGCCAATCAAGGACCTCTGTAGAAACTAATGTTTTCTTGCTCAACCATGGCCAGAAATTGTTTTACAAAGGCTAGCAATGGAACTTGCACATCCTTGAACATGGCCTGCAGTCTTTTAGAAGCATGACAGCACATCTTAATGCTAGTCCAAAATTTCTGATAAACATTGAGACAGAATCAGACCCCTTACATCACAGGTTTGTGACCTAAACAGTCACATTAAGCAATATAAACAAAAATTGGTGTGAAGTGTGGTAAAAGGTGCACAGCAATAATGGCACTTTGACCAAGCCAATTTTCAAAGTAAAGGCTGACCATATTATTTTAAAATTTACTGCTGAAACCTGATTTAATGTGTAACAGCACAACTTAGTGACTGACACCAAAAGATGCAAAAAGTCTTAATGCTTTTCATAGACGTAAACTAGTAATAGGAAGCTAGTAAGCTAGTAATAGGAAAAATATGCCCTGACAAACTTTATACAAAACTTGTATCAAGAATGCAAGAGCAACCAATATCAATAGATGTCCTGATAGGTAGATAGAAGTTGGTTGGTCACATTTTTATCTGAAAACTCAAGCAGTAAAGGCAATGAAATCATAGATGTAGGAACCAGGAGGGCATGTGCCACCCACTCCACTTCTCAGAAACAGTGGTAAGATACCTATTTACAGCACATGGAGGTGCCCCATTTTCTCTACATGTGCCCCCACTTTTGAAATGCGTCCCAAGTCAATGTATGAAATTCTACTATGAAAAAATGGAAAAGAGGCTGAGGCATCATCATCATAATCAGTCTTTTTAAGTTATCTGGAAACTTCCTAGAGGCAGATCTCTACTAGGTAATTTTTCAGCAGTCGTCAGAAAATTTCGCAACAGCTCATGTGCAGTATGCAAAAGTGAATTGTTGCGGCAAAAATTATCTCTTGAGAAAAAGTAGAACTGAGTTTGACTTTTTGTCCAGACTTTTGATGATTGTTGTAATATTGGCCAATAGAATCCAATTAATTTTCAGACTGCATGGCTCAATCTGTCTCCAAAAGAATTGGATTCACAGTACAGAGAAAAAGGGAAAAAGTCCTTTCCTAGAACAGCATTACATTTATACTGTTTATTTTGAAGCTTAGGATCTCAGTAAAATACATAAGGGGATAATATCATCAAGGTTGCAAAGTCAGGACCCCATAAAAAAGGAATAATTTAACAGGGCCTGAACAATTAGTAGGGAAAGTTTACTTGATAGTTAAATTTACAAATAGATAAAGGAAAAAAATAAAAAAGGGAGAAACGTTATCAGAAGTAAATGCTGTCTCAAGGATGCATGATTTTCAGCAAAATGGAAATACCGGAGATTGATGAAAAGCGAGATTTATGAAAAGGGTTATAAGATGCCATTACTGAAGAAAAGGGATCATTTTAAACTGATAAGATCATCAAAGATCTCAAAGAATGGAGAAAAGACTCAGAAATAGCTTGCACAGCAGAAGAAGCAGAAACTGTATATATTATATATTTATATAGAAACCAGCAAGTTGCATATGATGAAAATCACCAACTATTGAGGCCATTTCATGAATTTAAAAAGGCATGTCATTGATGTAAAGTTTTGCATTAAAATTCAAAGTTTTAAAGTATTAAAGTTAAAGACCAGGAAAAATTCATATAAATACAAAATCTACTTTTTACAGCAACAACACACACATCCTTGATACAATCTTTGCAAGCATTGTAAAGAGAAAAACACTAACTGAATGTCAATTACTTTTAGAAACTGAATCCCAGTACGTACCTTGTCCAATAACTCTTCTCTTTCTTGCAGAAGATTTTCCAGATGATTTTGACGAGCTTTTCTTCCTTTCGCTTATCTTCTTATTTGAACTTGACAAACTCTTTCTTGTACATCTTTCTGTTTCAACAGCATCCATCACGGTCATTGTTTCAAAGATAAAATGGGTGCACACTCTTTCTAGTAAACTTTGTAGCGCTATAATTCAGGTACAATTTCACATCATGAAATGAATGCTAGTTAGACAATCCAGTAGGCCTATCTGAGAAATGCCGTGACGGCTACTTTCCCAAGATAATTCTCCGTTGTCTTAGTGACCAAAAACGACTGCAAAAACATCAACTCGTGCAGTAAACCAGAATTGGTCCTGGAGATTATAAGCTTCTACATATCCTTTGTCAAATTCAGTTCCTTTGTATGCCTTGCTTTTCCATTTAAAAAACAAAAATTGGCACTGAGGAACGTGACAGTCTATCCACCTGACTTGTATCCTGTTTAGGCCCGATTTTAAGCGCAGATGCCAAAATTCAACCAATCAGCGACCTGTAAATTTTCCCGCCATTGGTGCACAACCGTCAGTTGCTCCTTCGCAGACAAAATTATTAGGTTAAAAACGGGCTTCTTGCGAAAGTAAATCGCAAAGTAACCCTATAAGAAGAGGTACCCCATCCCTGTTAACCTTATCTTGACCAAGCTGTTCCGATCAAGCCCTAATTTAGCCTCCCTTCTCTTAGCTCCTAATTGGTAGGCTGTAGAAGAAGGTAAGATTCGGACACAATAATGTTGTCAACTGATGACGTCACAAAAATATGTTTTTTGAATTGTTGAAAATTTTTCCCATAACCTGAAAAAAGCATCATGAAATACCTCTAAATCTGCAAAATTAGTTAAACGAACTGGGTGAGTGTGACCAGATGAGCGCAAGCTCTGGCCCCATCAAACCTCCGTAATTTGGTCCCAGCTCATAACTTAATGAACTGAGCCATAATATCAGTAATCCGTAACTGATTTTGCATATACCCTAAATTCTCTTTTTAGCCCCCCTTCGGGGGGGGGGGGGACTTGTTGTTTTTCAGCACTTTAAAGTGGAGCTTATAAGAGAGAGGGGGTTAAATTGAGAGAGGGGGCTTAATAAACATTCTGTAACAAAAAACCATTTATAGTGATAAACTATTTTTTTATTATTTGCGAAATAAAAAACATCAGTTATTAATTCTAAAACATCTTGCTGGGTCATGTCGCCTCCTGAAATCGTGCATTCAGAAAGGTCGACTTCATCCCTTATGTCTTCGGATCTGTCGTAAATGAAAGAGACATGGTGTAAATATTGATTTGATTGTATTAGTATTGAAAGTAAAATGTGAAAGTATTGAATAACCAATGGGTAAAATGAAAGTCTATCTTTTGTCAAGTTCACATATTTCGGCATCAGTGAAAATATTGAGAGGGGGCTAATTAAATTGTTTCCTTCTGAAAAGGGGGGCTAATAAGAGAGAGGGGCTTAATTGAGAGGGGGCTTAAAATAAAATTTACGGTATTGAAGCATTTCTTGGTGTTTTTTTTTGTTATGTGATCAAAATTCAAAAATTTTAAAATCAGTTTTTTTGACGTCATATTTAAGAACTCTATTGTCACTAATTCTGTAATGAAGGCATAATGACATCATCCATTTTTTTAATTTTTCCAATTTTCATTTTTCCAGTTTCATTTTAAAAAGCACAGAAACGTAGTTTGATACAGATTTAAATAAAATTACATAAAATTACGCTTTACAAAAACAGCTCATATTAACCTATGACATCATTAAATAATTTTGCGCCTGCGCAGTAAAAAATATATTTTTGGGTCCAATATGGAATATGGTCATATTCAAGCTACAGGGTTCTTTTCTTCCAAAGTCATACTCAGAAACACAGGATGTAACAAAACAAACACAGAATTTAGCGAGGAAAGGCAAAATTTGCTGACGGTGGCAATTTCTAAAAAGAGTTTTGAAATTATATTTAACAATTGCAAAATGTGTCTTATGATTTTCATTATATATTGAAGAATTTTCATAAAAAAATTACTTTTGAGAAGGAAAGTAAAGACATTTTATATTGTCTAAACTCTTTCAAAAGCTAGTTGGGACGTGTACGCCATCAAGAATATTAATACCTGTATTTGTATTTGCTCCTACCTTGCATCCGAAGGTAACTCTAAGGACACCTAGAGGTATTGGCTACTTTTTACATACCAGCTTTGTAATTTTGACCTCTAAGCCTAAAAGATTCAGATTGCTGATGAAGAAGTGTTGGTTACAGAAAGAAGTGATTCTTACTTAAGGTCCTCTAGAAATGTTGATGGAAATTTGGAGGAACGTTTCCTTTAGATATATTTCGAAAAAGAGTGATAACTTTTCAAATCATTGCTTTTAATTCAATAACCATTCTACATAAATTCAAAATATTATCTAACAAATGAAGTGCATCAAAGGATTTAGAAAAACACCAAAACGGAAATTTTACTTTAAAAAAATTCGGGAGACAACACAAAATTAACAACAAATTGGTTTACAACATCTTCAAAAAAACTGAATACTGACAACTGAAAACAGAGGACTGAAAAAGTTGTACTATTACAATAAAAACCCTTCCGCCGCCCAGATCTGCCGCCAGATCTGCCGCCCAGATCCGCCGCCCAGATCCGCCGCCCAGATCTGCCGCCCAGATCCGCCGCCCAGATCCGCCGCCCAGATCTGCCGCCCAGATCCGCCGCCCAGATCTGCTGCCCAGATCCGCCGCCCAGATACGCCGCCCAGATCTGCCGCCCAGATCTGCTGCCCAGATCCGCCGCCCAGATACGCCGCCCAGGACCGCAATAAAAACGCAAGACTCATGCGAGTCTTTACTGTTCACGCCACATTTTAAAAGATCATAAGTTTAATATGGTTGCAAAAACCCTAAACAAAGCGTGAAAAGAAACAACAAACTGGTAAAAGTTTAAAAAGTGTAGAATAAAATCAAAAAAGTTACCAGTTAATCGAAAAACGTTGTGTACCTAAATTCCTCTGTTTTGCAAACTATTAAGGACTTGCAAAATAAAACCCTAACACCCCTTAGTCACAGACCGAGGGGATTTTAAATTTCGCTGAGCCAAATTGTTTCAAATCCCGTGATGGCATAAATATAGTACAAAAAGTTCACAGCATGATTAACAACCTTCTATACCGTAAATATTCGAATTACATCCCTGAGGGCTTATATATTTTTGACCTTTTTGGATGGGGGTTATTCGAACGGGGCTTATACGAAGGGGGGTTATACGAGGTTGGCTTATAAAATTACAGTAGACATTAAGAAGACACTATTAAAAGACCTCGTATATTTTAGTAGGGATTTCTTTATAGACATTAAATCAATTATTAACAGAAGTATGAATGTTTGTAGTAATTCAATAAAACGTGAAAGGCAAACTCAGTTGGAAAAAATAAACAAATCTAAAGTGGGTAAATTCGAGGGTTTATGGTGGCAGTGGGGGCTTATTCAAGGGGGTAGGGCTTATTGACAATTTGTAGTTCTAGGGTGGGGCTTTTTAGAGAGGAGCAATGCGAGGATTTACGGTAATAATGCAAAACCTATTTGAAACCAGACTCGATCCTTTGGCCTTCAGGTTTCTAATTAGAAGTTCGACTACAAGAATTAGAATAGCTCTAAAAGCCTGATGTGAGAACAATCTCAATTGAAATCCGATTTCTGAGACCTAGTAAATGAGAATATGTTTATTTTTGGGAAAGCAATTGAAAGCAGAGAAGTTCTACAAATGGGAGCTTAACGATAGCTCTAACAGTTACTTGCCATTAGGTTTAATCTAAATGTTATGAGAACGAAGCAAGGTGGTTGTGCCGGTCTTCAAAGATCCAACTTTATCAAGTCTTGCGGGAAACTCAAGGCTTGCAAGCTCAAAGTTTCAATGCTAAAAAGCTCTCTTAAAATCTAATTAATTTAAAAACTGGAAAAACTGAAACAGGATGTAAACATCATACGCCAGGCATGATGAAAGGGGAGAACGTTGATTGGCGCTTTCTCTTAAAGGTACACGATGGATATAAAAGGACTTCTGTGACAGGGGTCGGGGCAAGCTAAAAATAACAGCCAAAATATTTGTTTTTAGATTTTGCATGTAATTGCTTGTTCATTTTTGCGTCATTCTTATTGTCAAACCATTATTCGTGGGACGATAGAAAGCCATCGGAAGGTTTGATACACTCCGCAACAGAATGGGGTAGCATTATTTGGGAGCTCGCAATTTCACGGGAGCAGTGTTCCTAAGACGTTTCAATAATTAAGCTCCATTTGAAAATTTTGAATTTGAACAGCTTGAGCTTATAGCCATCGTGTGTCTTTAAGATTAACTTCCACTTCAGACTTTCTATTAGCTTGTGCGCGCGCCGTGAAACCTTCTGATGGAATTGCTTCTCGCAGCTTATTTGCACAAATTGCTTTGGGAGTAGGCAAGCGAAATTTGTTCTCTGCGGCTGAAGCGATCTCAAATACGCATGCGTAGGCTTTGGCGCAACGCACGCGCGAACAAAAACATTGAAATGGAAGTTTGCCTTCACGCGAGGTAAGCAAAGATCTGTCAACGTTCGAAACACATCTTTGCACAATTGTTACAAAGAGAGAGCAATGTGCTCCAAAACGGTATAGTTAGTACAACTACCAATACCTTATTTCTGGAGACCAGATTAGTTTGTTACCGATTAGGGTTCTGAAATATTACTAGAGATTCATAATATCAAAATCTTAAAACACGATTAATCTTTAGACCATCCTCTTCTTCGACCACTTTGCAATAATGAATCCCATACTCGTATGTTCCGATGACAAACCTAAAGAAATGATAGTAATCACCATCTGCATCAAGCTTATATCAAGCTACCAGTGACAAAATAAAGGTTAAAGAGATATGAAAAGCCAAAATAATACAAGTTGTATAAAGTAAAGTAAAGAAAAGTAAAGTCAAATAAAGCAAAGCAAAGTATGAAAATTTTTTGGCGGTATAAAACTTGAAAATGGCTTTGAAAAACGCAAACATTTCACAACATACAAGCTTCTTCGTCTCACACTCCTCGAAGTAAACTATAAAACGTCAGAATAAGGGTCTGAAACGTCTGAAAGAACGAGATGAACAATATATACCCAGTTGTGGATCGAAATAGGCCAATCAGAAATACGCAAGCACATGACCGGCAAAGTTCGCCAATCAGTGCCGCGTGCCTAAAGTAAAATTACCAATGGAGCCCAAGAGAGAAAACGAACTCCTTCTGTCTACACAATGGCGGCTTTTTCGTTTGTATGTAGATCGATTCCAAAACTGTTACATGAAAAGATGACCAATTATTTGAAACATTTCGTAATTATAGTGTTTTGTACAATCTGGGTTATCTAAAAGGTGCTGGCCGAGTCACTAGTTTTTACTGTGTTTTTAGTCCTACAAGATCGAGCAGGCTGTTCTCTTTGAGAGGCAGTTTTGTTTTTACCCCAGACTATATGGCCAGATTATAGCCAGGTTAAAGGCTACTCCAACAACTCTACACAAAACTTTCTGGTCCTTTTGCTATGAAGACGGTGCTTATAACTATGGGGCAGGTACCGAATCCCTGGATGTAGAGAGGCACAATTGGTGTATAAAAATCAAAGGTGCTGTCTTCACAATTGGTAAAGCCCAGTTTTCACTTAAACAGAAGCGGCGGAATAAAGGACCTTTGAATAGAAAGCCCTACCACTTCGCTTTGTCGCAGAGGCCACAAATTGTGGAAAGAATTGTGGAAAGATTGAAGGATCTAAGTATTTGAATGCGTATTACCTTTGAGAAAGAAAAAAACATCTAAAACTGTCTATAAAAATATGTAAAAATGTAGAACTGCCTTTTGCCTATATGCTGATAGTCTATATGGTTTACTGCAGCCATCAACATTTAACAGCTTCAATAGTTGAGATTATCTGTACATAGACCAGAACATTTTTGTCGAATTTTTCAATTTAGGAAATTCTATTGAAATCCAAATTTGATGGAAAAAACTTTTTTCCGAAGAACCATGCTAGAAAAAAATTTTACAGTTTGGTTTTTTCAAACAAATGTTTCAAAAGCATATCGATAAAGATTGATTAAGGTACATCGGCTCTTTACCTGCCATCTTGAAATGAAGAAACGGCCGTGAGTTCTTTAGCTGTTGGTACGACTTCAGAGACAAGAGCATCTAAAAGATAACGTGTACTCCGGTATTGGGAAGACAAAAAAGAAACAGGAATCAGAATTATTCCAACCTCTTCGTTAAATCTTGATTTTTCAGCGTTTTCTATGATATCATTCGAATACTTCTACTTACAAGCAAAACTTTACATTGAATTTTTGTTGAACTCTGCTGAAATGATCACAACAACATAAGAATAAATCCGACACAAAACTAAAATAAAGGAGTTTAATTAAGCAGCAATTGATCGTGTCAGATATTCTAAACCTTCTCAAACAAAATAATTTGTACATAGATTGTTGATGATTCACAATATAAAAATGGTTTTGAAAATAGGAAACATTTAATGTCTGTTTAAAAGTGACTTGCAGTTTATAGTTTATAAAGAAACACTGCGTGATTGTGGCAACTTTGTGCTACGAGAAATGCAATGAATGAGGGACTCATTTACCATAGTAAACCTGCTTTACGAGGATGATATTTCAATGCAGTACACTCTTTTTTCTAAGAACCAGGTAATTTCGGTCGAGGTTGATGTTTCATTGTATGAGGCGCGAGTGTTTAAAATATTGTTCATATTTCAACATTGATTCCTCTACAATTCCATACCAAAAGTTGATTCTCAGGCCCCTATATAACTGTTTTGTTTTGTTTACATATTGTTTCTTCTATTTATCATCAATTGGAGACGGGTCGTGTTCTTAAGTTTTCTTATTTTTGGCAACTCGAGCCTCGGTGTTCTTATGAAATAGGGACGAGTCTATTATAAAGAAAAGAGTGTATGTTGACGCTCACAATTACAGATTTGAGACCAGACAATCTCTTTTTGACATTCTTGAGGAATGCATCTATGTTCATGTCCCCTAAGGAGTGATGAAAACAACTGGGGTTTTGGGAACAACTGGCAGCCCCCCATTTTCGATATGGCTTGAGAAATGTATCATGAACACCGGATACTTGGACATCGGTAGTAAACATATATATGGTTCCGCAAACAAGAAATTTGAAACGTTAACTGCACTGGCCCTAACACTCAAAAGTTTTCTCAACCGCTAGTGCTTGAGTATTGCTCAGCCATCATTGGTAAGGAGCTTGTTTACCTCATACTGGCATTAAGGATTCACTAAGTAGCAAAAAGAAGCTTACTTATGTCGGGTACTTGCATATTTGACAAATGATTCTTAGTATATTTAGACGAAGAGATATTATTAAATGTTGTTTTGAGTGGGTCGCATAATGAGAAAGAGAAGCGTTTATTAAAAATCATGATGATTATTCTGTGTATATTATTATGTTTTTTTAATAATTTAATTACTTAAAGTAATATTTTTTTTATAATTTTCAGATGTTTTCTGACCAATCTATGATGTTCTTATTATTGTGATCTTTTAATATTTTAGTTAATATAATATGCGGTTTTTTAACATTTTTAATTTCATTTCGCCGATTATATTCTGATTATTCTTATTTCATGACAATTAGATTGTTGGTCAATTTTTATTCGAGAACTGTATGCGATGATCATCATTATGATCAAGAACGGATGCGTCAGCGCTGACCCGCCGTGGCACACGCAACGGTCGTACGCCAACAGTCTCCATTTCGTGCACATCGGAGTAGTCCAGCCGTTGTCATTCCTAAAACCTCTTGCACATCGTTTTTGAGCTTCCGCCGCGGTCTTTCTCTTCTTCGATCATGCCAGACAGGATATCATTTCCCCAGCCTTCACATCTCGCAAAATGGCCAATAAAAAACAATTTTCTTTTTTTGACGTTGTTTGATTTGACGATAACGAGTGAATTGTAAAGGACAGTTTGCATTTGACGATAACGAGTGAATTTTCTTTGTGCCTTGAGTACACTTGTTAGTGAATGACAGAAGAAATTGGTGACTGAAAATCGAGCTTGCAAGAATCTAGAATTGAAAGTCAATGGAAAATTATACGTACTGCTAACATCGGGGCTCCAGATTTTCACGTTGCAGTCAAGTGAGACACTGACCAGGCTAGAATTGAAGAGAGTATGATTACAAAGCCATAACTACCAGATAAAAACCAAAGACGAGCAGATAATAAGGAGATAAGAAAAAAGTCAGCAACAAGCGGCAAACTTTCAATGAGCGTGACAAATAGACGCACCCATTTTAATGGACGATGATTACAACTATGGAAATGTGGTTTCTGAGAAGGATATTAAGGATTTTATTGACTGAACACACAAGCAATGAGGAAGTTTTGAGAAGAGCGGGTACAAAAAGAGGACTACTAACATCAATCAGGAAAAGGCAGATGGAGTTTTTTGGGCACGTGATGAGAAGGGAAGGCTTGGAACACCTAGCGGTTACTGGAAATATAGAAGGAAAGAAAGGAAGAGGAAGACTAAGAATTGGATATGTGAAGGCTTTGAGCACGTGGGCAAATGTAGAAGCTAAAGAATTGATTAAGACAGCTAAGAGCAGGGTAGAGTGGAAGGCCATGACAGTCAACGCTCTGAAGGAGCACGACACCTAGAGAGAGAGAGAGATTACAAGTATATCGTGATTGGTAAAAATGGTTGATATCCTAATTTCTGTCAACTTCATAGGAAAACCAACCCTACTGAGTCGGAACATTTACTTCCAAACGGATGATGGAGCAGAGAGCTAGATTTACTCCATGATTTTGCTATTGAATTGAATAAATGCTCAATCAGCTAAGCGTCCGTAAGCGAGGCAACAACGAGACAGAGGCTCGTGTAGTGAGTCACTTAAGTGATTCTAATTGGTTTTAAATATCTATTCAATCCCCTTTTAAAAATCCAATCCAGGAAGTGGGCCTGCGAGTGCACCAGTCCTTGACTGCCTGGAGAATAATTCTCTTTAAGGTCGGTGGCAACGATGGGAAACCGCTTCCAGGCTGATGCATCTGCCCGCAAGACGACTGTCTCCGGGGGAAAGCTGGAGAGCAGAGTTTTGAAACGAAACAAAGCCAAGAAAAGAAAGATAAAGAAAGGAGTGGGTGGGTTGAGAAAAACCTGAGATGCGTGCACATCAGTCCCTTACAGCATGCCGAATGACGGTACACTAATAAATGGGTGTCAACCACAACCACGTGGGAAAAGTACCAGGATGGGAAAAACTATTGTCCAAGAACAATTAGTAATAAAGTGACGTGTGGCATTTTTACTAGTAGATTAACTCTGTTTAAACAAGTTTAAACAACATATATCAGACGGATTGCTGCCAAAGCTCCAAAACCTGGCTTTTATCTAGTGGTGTGAAATACACTGTTTTTATCAGATAATTGTGTCTTGCATACAAATTTCGAAAGAAGGTCACAAAAAGGTTGCGTGCCACATAATGCTTCATTGATTCATTCCACTTACAGGGATCCAGGGGCATGATCAGACATATTCGTGATATAGCGACAATCAGATACTTTTTGGGCGTGTCCTTTCAGCTCATTAACAACTTTACCTTCACGAACATCCCATACCTGCAAAACAGTGAAGCTTGTTTATGATAAAAGGAAAACAAAACAATACGAAATGAAAGGCCACAAACTCAATGTTACTAGAAAATGCCTAATTATATCTTTATTGAAAGTTCTTTTGCCATGAAAACTGTAGTTTGTTTAAAAATCAATACATCTCTATGATGAAAACTGATATTGCAAATTAGAGCTGTTGTCAGAAGCGAAAAAGCGAGATAGGAACAACAAAATTCGATTTCAAAGAAACCATCTAGAAAAAAGATGATGTCAGATTTCGCCTTCTAACTCAAAATATGAGTGCCGCTTCAAATCCTTAAAATATGGATCATACAGTTGCCAGCCATGTCCTCACTAGAGGAAATAAGGCGAATGTTGCAATAGAAACTCAGATGACAATTGTTTTTGTCTCAAAAAAGCTATCAAGATTTTGATCAATCATTTGTGAAGAATTGAAAGCTTCTGGCCAACAATTATCGTTAAAATACTTGATGAATCTAAAATACATATCTCCGGTTAAAGATAACGACTCTTCATGTCATTAAATATGGCTGTCTAGATCTAATCTTGCAAAAGAACCTCAAAAAGTCTTGCGAAATCGCAGAAACCATGTCTATTTGCCACCTGTTTTCCCTCTCTGCTATGATGCCTCGCTGACAAACTTACGTCTGATTGCACTCGAAAAAGCCTAGACAGCAAGTAAAAGGCCATCAAACTTTATACGTCTTTCTTTTATAGTGAGAAAAATACACTTTGTGGCGGTTGGTGCAATACTTTTCGAACGTTAGAAACACTTTCAACCATACAGAAAAGTTGATTATGTTGACTTAAAGAAAAAGCCTTCGGATCTGTGAGAAAACTGTGAATCAAATCGCTCTTCATAGAGAAAGGGCATTTGGTATTTGCGCAGGCGATCCAACAACAGTTGATAGTATTAATTGTTGGTCTTAAAGCGTATTACTATGCTAATACAGATAAGATAAACGTGGAATTTTACTGAGGAAATCAAGAGCTAGAGCTACAAGTATGAATGATGGGTAGGAACAGCACAAACAACGAAAAGCAATTCACTACAAATGAATCCAATATGATAAACCTAAATTTAGCAATAAATTATAATTTTGATAGGGCTTAATGTGCTTAATTGTCTTTCTTGATTTGTAAGGTAAAGAACTTGTCTTTTAAAGTCAGCAACTGAAATAGTTTGCATTTTTTCTTTTTCATACAGTGGACGGATTATTGTAGAATGAGACTCATCTGCGACATACAGTGACGTCGGAGAGGGGGGCGTGGGGGTCAACTGCCACTGTTGCCTTTTGATAGAAAGGGCAAGGGTGGCCAAAATGCCCTTTTCATAGATGTTTCTGACGGTACTGTCTTATTCTTGACGAAATATCTAAAATTTCTTATGCCAAAAGTTAGCCGATTTTCATGATACGGAAAATAGATTGAGATCGAAACAAAACGATAGACTTTCGGGTTTTCTATAAGTTTGGACACGAATCTGTCTAAACTTTCTATAAAATATATTTTGGTAACTATGTCCCAGATGAATTTCATTCTACAATGATCCGTCCACTGTATGCTAAAGAAAAACACAGCTATTTCAGTTAAAATAAAATAAAAGCTTTTTACCTTACAAATCAAGAAAGACAATTAAGTACACTAAGCCCTATCAAAATTATAATTTATTGCTGAATTTTGCTTATTGTAGTGTATTCATTTGTGGTGGATTGCTTTTCATCGTTTGTTCTGTAGCTATAACTCTTGATTTGCTCATTAAGATTCCACGTTTACCTTATCTGTATCAGCATAGTAATACTCTTTTAAGACCAATTAATATTATCAATGTAGGTTGAGAAAAACGACAAAAAGTCCCTTTTTATTGTTTGAGTACCACGACAGTCCCTTCTTAAAGTTTCGATAGTCAATTACATGCCAAAATGAATTTCCGATGTCAAAGGATGATGTTGCTTTTCCCATCTTTAATAAGATATCCATATAAGGACATGGGGATAATTAGACGTCACGTGGCAAATTAAAGCTCATTTACTACTTTAAACGTATTTCTACCAAAAAAGATAAACTATCCTTCATATTCCACTGCTTAGACAATATTTATTTTGTTAAAAACGTCATTCCAGCCACGTTTTTCCTCCGCAGAGGATAAGCAGGAACTTCTCCTGGCTTAACCCCCATTTTACCCCCAAAAAACAGCGGCAACTCCCCTTTTACAATCACAATTCAATATCACCAGTCTATTAAGAACTCGAAACTGGTGATCAAAATTTCCCCGCCCCAAAGTAGTACTCCCCGCCATTTCCGTCTGGTCTAATAGTTTCTGCAATTTTATGAAACAGACTTTATAAAATATCCAAGGTTTGCATCATTTATTTATGCAGGCTCTTCTCGCGCGATAGTTGATGCTGTTATACTATTGGTCGGAACCGTCCTGGGCCAAACATTGAAAGAAAACATTTCTCAATCAAGCTGCTAAATGGCACCTGCTTTGCAAAATCAGAAACAGGTCATGTTTTGCTGTTGACAGTTGGGAAGGTGAGCCAAACATGCTTTATTTGCAAATATCATAGCGACTTCCCATCAATTATTTCTATGCCATAACGTTGTCAAAATGTGTTTTGCAAAATACGATTTGCTCCATATAGTTCCATTTGGGCGATCACGGAAACTCTGAGTCTGTCAAACATCATATGGGCAGACATGCATCGCACTTGAAAGAATTAGCCCCTGTTTGCTTCTTGCATCAAAATGCATTTAAAAATCGACAAATCTAACTGAAAAGGGGTGTTTTAGTCGATACTTCAACGTGAGAACATGGCGTGGCTCAGGCGATCAATATTTCAAACTTTATTAATAATTAAAATAAAACTATGCATAAGCTCTGTTGAACTATGTTAGACTAATAAAGATCTCTGCTATTGAGTAAACTCACAGTGACGTCACAGCCATTGCCATTAAACCCGGTGGCTCCCGTTACTATATACGAACCACCAGCCGATACGTCGCAGCACGTCTAAAAGGGAAATGGCGTCTACAATTAAAGGCTGTAAAGAATCGTGCAAAGCACAGAATATTACTTTAAGAATTGATTTATCTATGGCCCCCACGCAAAATAAATAAAACATAGCTCTAAGCATTGCCACATAAGTATTGTCACATATTTACCGGAGAGCCGTAACTACTTTTGATCTTAATGAAGACTGTGCCCCTCAAACAAAATTTTGTTTCTAATAAACAATGCTTTTTGCTTGGGCATCACCGAAGAATTCTAGGGATAAGTTTTATCATAAACGGCAAATCGAAACATTTTACATATTCCATGGACAGTATGGGCTCCAATTTCAAACTAGCAGCTCAAACGATTTGCCACAAACCTACCACATGCCCGCCTCTGCTAGGATTATCTCCCATTCGAAAACTGTTATTTCTTTTGTTGCTTCCTTCTTATTGTAAAACGAAATACCGGTAGAATCATGGTTTTGGACGATTTAGGCCAGGCAAACTCCTAATTTAATCATGCCAAATAGCTCCACATAAATTAAACTCAAGTAAAATTCACCTGAAAATATTGCTTCATTGGAAATGTTCTGGCCACTTGCAAACTCCTTGTATCCCATATTCTGAAGTAAAGAACGGTAGACAAATTTTTCCCAAAAATGTTCTTCTTACTCCAAATTCAAAGAATAAGCAAAAATTCCGTATCTCCTCTCCAGCAGATTTAAAAAAATCCCAGACACTACTCTATGTATTCATAATGAAGAACGAGATCATGGGAAATGTAAGTGAGGAGAAATAGCCACGATTTAATAAAAAGGGCTTGATAGCAAAGTTAACAACAACACAAGGCGGAAGTTTCATCCGCAACTAGCTAATGCTGCTGTAACAAAATTCTGTGTAAAGATCTCGTGTGTCTTTATTCCTATGAGTTCAATTCACATTCTGCGAGTATCCAAATTTCTGTAGACTGGTACACGTTTGCACAGGGGCGGATACAGAATAAAAGTTGACGGTCGCACAGGCGGTCTAGGAGGTTTGCAGGCCTTGCAGTATAGTTTTGAGAGTGGAGACGGGACTGGGGCCCTGAAACGTTCAAATCTTTCAGTCAAACATTTTTCCCTTGAAAAGATTTCCAAATTTTCCAGCAAATCCAACACGCAGTTGAAACAAAATATCTTGAGATTCAGAAGTGTACACTACTTATGCACCTCTTCTGTATAAATAAAGAAAATTGGGATTCTTTTCTTTTACAACTTCCAACCACATCAACTTTCTTCCCTTGCCAGCAGTTGTGCGGCACAGTAATCTAACATAGTGTTTACAGACTTTTCGTGCCGCACAAATATGTGAAAACTTGAATTTTGATTGGCGAGATTTGGTAAAATATTTGCATAACAAAGAGCCCTGCCTATTTGTGCGGCACGGGCGACATGCCTAAAAATCATACTTTTTACGGTCTAGGATGGTCTTTGAATTTCTTCTATATTGAATCAAATCGCAGCATTGTGTGTGAGATCGACCAAGTTCGGTCCTATGTTTATTGTGTAAAGAGAGGTAAATGTATTATCTGTAGGGAGGAAAATAAAAGATTGTGGTAAACACAATTGCCTTATTTCAATGACTGAAGACTAAAACTAAATTCTGAAAATCTGACGGTCTTTCATGCGACCTGTGCGACACCCTGAATCCGCCCCTGCGTTTGCATGCAATGGAAATCGAAATCCAGCGCGCTGAACTTACTTCATTATTTTGTCCTCTCCAGTCTGGACGACCTGTTCCGTTCCATCAATCCATTTAACATCCGTAACCTACAAAGATGGAGCATAAAACAGATGGAAAATTCAGCTTTTTGAGTGTTTGGAGAAGTGCAGTCCATTTTCCAAGTCACATACTTGAGCTGTCCTTCCTCAACTCAGTTTTCGGAATAAATTTTAAGAAATGTTGAAAAACTGGAGGTCGGGTTGTTCCCTTCACTGCAAATAACCTCACACAATAAAAGACATTTATTGGCAACAGAGCGATGTACAGCTAGCCATCACAACCACTGAAGTAATGAAACAGTTTTCTAAAACTTGGAGCAAATAATATAATTGCTTCAACACTTCCACACTGAGAGCATATTAATTATTTCTCAAAAACCAACAGGGAAACATAAATCTATACAAAGTTGCAGATGGAGATTGACATGACCCCGGCTACTACGAAAGTAAAAAAAGTTTCCTGGGCAAAACTATTTTTTGTTAAATTTATTGCTGTTGCCATGATCAATCTTGTTTTGAAATAACCCTATATTTTGTCAGATTCCACTGAACTGTTTGCTTTTGAATTTTTAATGAAGGAGGAATCTCCTGCTTCTGTATCTCAATCTTTTAAGAGACAAAATGCAAGCCATGACAGTGAACATCCCAAAACACATTACCTACTGTGTGATAAAATTATGTTGATAACCACCAAGAATAATTTATGAGAACAATACATAAATTATTAATCCTCTGCAATGGCTAAATCAATCTTTTTTTCTTTGTGATAGATTCTCTCTTAATTTATCAATGTGTTTGAAATATTATTGAGGTAGATTTTTTAAAGTGGAAGTGAATGCAACTATACAGAATATACAATAACATATGCCAATTTCTTTTCTTATCGTTTTCATATCAGAAAATAACTACCTTTTGAAAAGATTTCAACATGTAAAAAATTCACTATTATACACTGTGATATAACATGCTGAAATGAATGGGTGCAACCTACCATGTTCCGTGGCTGTGTCATATGCCTAATGCAAGTACCAACCTTCATGTCCCACAACCTAACTGTATTGTCACGAGAACCAGACACCAGCTGACAACCATCTAGAACAGAGTTAACTGTGTTTTAGTCAAAGACCTTAAGCAGCTTTCTTAATGAAAAATGTTTTGCAAACACAAAGAAAAATATTTCATCATTAGAATATCTGATTGTTTCTGATTGATATTAGCTTGCATGCAGACTTTAATTTCTGTTGTGAAGGAGAGCCAAGACGGAACAGCTAGGTTGGTATAAGGCGACAGTTAGAATCTTCTACATACATAAACAAATATACTTTCAACTATGATTAGTCTTTTTATTTGATGAATTAAAATGAAAACTATAAAAATAAGCCTGAATCTAACTGCTGAACGATCATTAAAAGTAAACTCCTTAAATTAGTGGAAGGCTATTCTGAAGTTAGGAAACAAGCCATTTAGATCTTAAATCATTCACATTAAGGAGAGAAGTGCTGGGAAGGGAGAAGAATGAATGAATGAATGAATGAATGAATGAATGAATGAATGAATGAATGAATAAATGAATGAATGAGTGAATGAATGGATGAATGAATGGATGAATGGATGAAAGAATGAATAATATATAGAAATAATGTCCTGGCATTATTTATCTTAAATTCAATAAGAAAGGGTTTAAAGAGGAAGGGGATAATAGAAGTGTTTTCTCTTTTGAAAAATTTCCTAAGATGTGAAAGGATGATTGGACATAAAAGGTGGGGGACGTTGTTGATGTATTCTCAATTGGTGATGTGACTGTGCATCTTTTAAAGAAATCAAATATTTGTAGATATTGGACATTTGACCAGTATTATAGGCATAGAGGTAGCTGACTTTTAAATGCATGCTATAAACTATTTTTTGCTTATCTTGTTTGGTTGGTTTTCTATTTAAAAGAGGGCAATGTTAATTAGAGGAAATGCGGTATATTAAAAATAATGTAAAGAGGTGTATAAACATGTACAAACCAACATAGTCATGGGAGAGAGAACTGAGAGGCAATATGTGCACATTTTCAAACAGTACCATCTGCAAAATTTGGTTTGGGGACCCTCAAGAATATTGGGAGCCTCCCTGCCCCCTCCTACTACCCCTCTGGTGTTTGTAAACAAGACCATATGATAGCATTTTGCTTTATCTGAGAATTCTTGCCCATCCAAAATATATTCATGCTTGCCCACTTATGAAATAAAACTCCTAGCTTGCCTTTACCTTTGTTGGTTGTAATTGCAGTGACTCCAAGCGTGTGACCACTAAGTACATGAGCTGGTTCATCTGAGTTATTTTTCCACACCCTAATTGACTTGTCTCTTGAGGCACTGTAAACAGACTGCTCAACTCCAGCTGGGATTACCTAAATAAGGCAATTCCAGTCACTCATGTACAAGAAACAGGACAGAATATAGTGGTCTCAAAATCACAACACAGATTTTTCTAAGCAGAAGATATTTATAAACACAAAAATGAAATTGAAACTAGATTTCATGCTTTATTTGATTTTTGGTCATGTGGTATGAATTTAGGACACTCTACTTCAAAAAGTAGCTCTACTTCAAAAAGTTAAAATTGATTTATTTTCATAACAAACAAGATCAAATTTTCTGTCTTAGTTAAAATCAGAAAAATATTTTGCATCGCTATAATCTAAATTGCCCCCTAATCTCTGAGGAAATTTTTAAAAAGCTTATCACAAGTGACACCAGAGGTGTTGAATTCAGTTTCAATAACCAAATGTATCAACAGTTTGATAGCGTTGCTATGGGTAGCCCCTTAGGTTCAGGCACTAGCAAACATCTTTATCGTCTTTCAAGAAAACAGATTTTTTGATCAAATCCAAAAACCAGCGGTCTACTTTTGGTATGAAGATAAATTTGTTATATCCTGCTCTTAAAAATAAATCATCAAAAAGAAGAACAAGAACTCCTTGAGATTCCTTGAAATTTCAGTGCAAAAAGAAAGAACTGGATTTCTAACCAGTGTATAAAAGGAAGCCAAAAGTTTTCTGGGCAAAACATTCTTTGAAATTCCATTAATCCAAAAGACAGGAAAACTGATATAATCAAAACACACAGGACACTGATGATTCGTTCCAAATCTAAATTGGGTCCCAAGCTTGATAAAATCGAGAAAAATTTTCCGGAGAACGGTAACCCAGAGTATGTCGTTTCAACTTGTATAAGACAAAAATTGCTTATTTCTCAGTTGAAAAAAGTTTGGTCTGGAAAAGTGACCTGTATAATCAAAGATGCCCTGGATTGGCAAAGTTTCATTGAAATTCAAAAGTCAAATAAAAAGGCTATAACCAATTGTTTTCAACTGTGGAGCCTCATGTGGTATATTGTACTAAGGTAATATTTATGCTATGTTTCTGCTATTTTGTTTCATTTTCAAAATAATTTATACAGCCACAATCTCTCACTTTTTAAAACAAATACAAGCCCAGACCCTCCAACACTAGATATATCAATTTTATAATAAATTGTAGCACTACATCAAAACACTTTTGGCCAAAAGGGATCAAGGAGCACAAATAAGATAGGAAAACCTTTGTGATTTCTTTTTCATGGGCATCCCATCTGGCCATCAGTTTCCTTGCACCAACATCAAATAATCCTATTTTCTGCAAATAATGTTAATCAAAAATGGTTTTCAGTAAAATATGAGCAAGAAGCAAAGATGCAAAAAACACAGGTAAAGAAAAGACTTGATTTTGAAAAGAAGAATTATTTTATCAATTAGCTTTCTCTTCTTAGCTAAGGGTTAAAATCATCAATGATGTGCATACTAGCCTCTGCATGTGCTAAGCATGGACCTAAATTTCTTACCTTTTTCAGGAATTGGTAGTAAAAGTTTCTTAATGGGTTATAATTAAAAGCATTGAGTGATGGTAAATAGACTTTCTCTATCGGGGTCATTTGGTTTCAGCATGATCGCTGTAGCTTCATGTGATATCTGCATCTTTTTTTGACAACATGCTATTGATGTAAGCTCTTTTTTAATCAGAATGAGATGAGTTCATATGACCAGTTTCAGGTCAAGCAATAGCATTGCAGCACAAAATCATGACTCAGTGGACTTGATTGTGTTTGGGTATACGGTCTCCTTTTATCATGACTCAATGCCTTCAAGAAATAGAAAACAAATTTAGAGTGTTGTATGCCTACATTTAGATTTGCTACAAGAAAAGAAAAAATGACTTTGTATAATGCCTTGTCTGATAAAATGTCTCAATAAACAAGAGAAAAAATAATAATAAGTAATAATAAAGTCATGGTAATGTTTATTACCAACATTGAATGAATTTAGACATGGAAAAATTCAAAATATTCAATGATAAAAAAAGTCATATGCATACAATGAAGCATTTCAAATTACAAACAAACTAGAAAAATAGAAATGGGAGCAGGTATCTTTATCAAATGAATCTCAAACTAGTTTGCTTCAAGGAATTTTTTCATCAGAATTATAAAAAAACGAACAATTGTGTAAATGCTTACATTTTTTGACAAATTATTTTTTCTACTTGGGACAAACATCCTATATAATTCAAATTATTCTTAATGAGTTACTTATACCTTATAATTGTGAAAAATAGCTCAAAATATTTACCCCTCCAGAGCCTCCAGAGATGCAAATCGACGTCCCATTTATGCAGGATACTGCAGTAACACTGTTTGTGCCATGAACTCTAGGAAAATCGCGTACATCATTCGACGTGTGACCTTCTAATCCTCTAGGACTATATTCGTTTTCTTTATAGCTGCTTTTGTTAAATTTTTGTCGTGATTGTCCTTGACCCATTGTCATAAGTTTGACTTAAGCCATGATAAAGTACCTCTGAAATCTTCTTTACCTGTCACTTAAAAATACTTGCGTTCTTTCCAACCCCGTTTAGCGTACAGTTAACTTCTTTTGTTCGTTTTAGCCACAAATACAGCGCATTTAGCCAAGCCAGCAATAAAGCAGTTCCAATTGTTGGCTTGTGAACAGTTCGCGAACATCTGCTATAGTACATCCGGTATTAAGACGTTACGAAATTTCTTCCCCAACATCACACATAAAATTTCATCCATCCAACTTGAAGATGCATCCAATGAATAAACAACAACAGCTTTTAGGTGAAATTTCTTTGATAAGATATGTCAAAATATATAGCAATATCTGTACATTTAACCTATCATTATCTTTGAATGGAACACTTAATCTATCATGTTCTTCAGACTTCCTCCCAGAACGATGTATCCATCTTCCCTGGAACTGGAGCCTGTTTTTTCCAATCTCGTATTCATGAAGAGTCATTATAGCATAAAAGGCGTCACCATAGAAACTCGATTGAAGGCTTTTTCACGGCTAACATATCCACTCTGTCTACATGGTCATGGGCATTCTATCGGACAAAATAAGGTTTTCCTACAGTCAAAGGGGCCAGTCTGCACAGTTTGGGTAAGCGCGGGGAACGCGTTTTTTCGTCAAATCCCATCCACATAATTTTACAAATTTAGATTAATTTGCACAGTTGCAGCAGGCTTTGTCATGGGAATCCAGCACACTGCATCACCACTAGGCTGATAAACCTGCTACATTGCAACACAAATTTCTTCCGTGCAATTAAAAGCGGGAGAAAAATTTCTTGAGCATGAAAAATACTTTACAGTCTGGCAAAGGGGCATGACTTAGATTTTTTTATTTTGCTCCCCTCCCTAAGCAACAACAAAAAATATATTTGAGAAAGGGGCGCTTTTTGGCTTTCAAAAGAGTGTGGACTCTCAATTTTCCTTTGCTCATCTTGCTTTGGCCCCCCCCTCCCCAATGTTACCACCCTAGCTACATTGATGCCTCTAAAGTGAATAGTGCCAGGCAGTATGTCACTCAAAATCTAATTTGATAATGCAAGCAAAAAGCATAATTTTTGGGCCGAGGGACAAAACTCCCTGCAAATCACTCCCAAGAGAGTATTCGAGATTATCAATCAGATGGCATTATTTTGGGATAACTGTGAAAAACGTACGAGATTATAATCAGGGATTTGCCCCTCAGTTCAGCTTACTTTTCATAAACATCAACTTGGAGAGAAAGAATCAGAAGCGTTGATAAAACAGCTGCAAGCTTTTAAAGAAGTTGGTGAATATTGAATACATCAATCTTTGAAAATTCTTACAATCACAGCTTCGACCACTTATTTTCTTGAGAACCAAACGAGTCCTTTAAAAGAACTATAGAACAATCAAGTATTAATATCCTTAAAGTTCTTATGTCTTCTCAATAAATTCTACTAGGTAACCCTAGGCCCCCCTCCTTGTCTTGAAGATCAAACTACACCACTGAACTCTCTACGTTTGTTTAGGGTCAGCAAAATTATATACCAATGACTTTTGTGCGCAAACAACTTGTGTAGATAGTACACCGTTTTCCTACCTTTTTCCATGAATTTATGACAAAGGACAGGAATAATGGAAGTAGCATTTTCACTGGCATTCCTTTTAACCCTTTATGAACTCAAAAGAGTACAATATTTTGGCTCCAAATTATGGAATACTCTTCCGCTTTTTCAACGAGTTGCTGCTTCAATTTCTGTTTTTCGATCTAAATTAAAAGCGCACTTTATTGACTCCTATGCTTAACTAGTGAATTTTATGAGGCTTGTCTGGTTAATTTATATTTTGTTTTTATATTTATACACTAGGGTATCAAAAGTATTGCACCACCTTGAAGGAGGAGAAATGGCGCAAGAATGATCGAAAGCTACTGTTATGCAAATTAATTCTGTTTTTAAGTGGCGACTGGCAATTGGTCGAAAGCAAAACAACGACCAATCAAAACGTCAATCTATTTAGAGCATTTGTTTTAAAAATGACAGTAGAAAATGTTCTTTAACAGTTTCAAGTCTCAAAATTTGACGTAGCCGCAAACTTTTTGAACTGCAAAAAGCCTCCTTGAAATTTCCCTCCCAAAAGTATTCGAACGATCGGGCAAAATTTTGGGCCTAATTTTTGCAAACGCCATGTTAGTGAAAAAGCAAGATCAAATTTTGGCGACAAAATAAAACGATGGCGTCAGGAAATAAGCGAAATAAAATTCACAAACAAGCAAAAATTTTGTTTGGAGAAAGTTTACTGGAAAAAATTTTCTCAATAGCGCAAAAAATGCTCATCTTTGGGCACTGGTAAAAACACAAAATATGGATGAAGCTAAGCAAGTGGTCATAAAGTTTTTACGCCAGGCAGGTCATTCATATGATGAAATTGCAAAGCAAGTGGACTGCATGAAGTTATATACCTAAAGAATTTGCAACTTATGTAAAAAAGCAGTTTACTGGAGAAAAAGTTGAGAACAGGCAGGTCAAAAAAAGTTTTAATATAGGAACCAAAGAACATTAGCAGGTTTTGCGAAAAAACTTGTTTGTCAATTTTAAAGGAGTAAAATTAGTGAGTGACTCTGAAGTTTTGTGACCAAAATCAGCTCAAAAATTAAATTAGGCATACTTTATTGAAATACGGAATTACAAATTGTGCCCTAAGAAGAAAGCTTGGTTTTTCACCAAATATTCGCACTCACCGGCAAAACAGAGTAAAAGTTATGAAGGAACGACCTGTCGCCGACCGGGGCGATAATGTCTTCTTGAACGAGTGTAGATTAGTTCAAAAATGACTCTGAAGCCTTCTCAATCCGAAAAAACAACTGAAAAAGGAAATAATCAAAAGTTCTTTCAGCTAAATGAAAAATCTCTACGTGATTTTTCTAAAGACAACGCTTTATCTACCCAATTTAGTTGAGGTGCTGGTAGCCAAAGCTGGAATAGCTTTGACATTGCTAAAACAAAACCATATAATACCTAATCTCGAAATATCCCATACCCTGTTTTGAAAGGACCAAACGAATGCAGATATTTAGAAGAAACGGTCAAGTCACTAGGCATTCAGCTAGATAATAAATAGAACTTAAAATATCTGAACTCATTGTTAAGGTACATCGCAGCTCATTGTTTCAGAATTACTGTTATTCTTTCCATTCTGCTTCAGAATTGACATAAAAAAGATTAGAGAAATGCTAGGGAGCACTAGAATGATACTCCTCACCGCGAAATCGACCTTTAGGGGCCCGAAAAGACTAAAATTAGACTAAAATACCATTATTTGAAAAACGCACTAATATACTTCACGATATATAATGCCTATGATTTTATGGGGCAATCGTTATGCTAATGGTACATTGGAAGGGCCGGCGATAAGTCGTCGGAGGCTCTAGGTGCAAGTGAAAGAAAAGGTCTCCCTGCTAGCGAAGCGAGCAGAAAATTTTTGCGACAACACCCTTTAGATAACCGTAAAATACATTTTAGAATATTTCTTGCATTGATTTTCTTGCAATAATATAAAACATTTTCCAATTTTTAAGGCATGCTTTTAGTACGTTTGATTGATTCCATTACTTTATAAGGCCCCATAGACCTCTTATTCTTTGGAAATTAAGCAATTGCAGGATTTATCTTACTTTTATTCTATTCCTTTTCTTTTATTCTTTTTATTTTGTTAAAAACACTTTTTGCGAAAGAATGGAAGGGGCGGGGCTGAGGCTCCCCCACCCCGTCTGGCGCCACCCATGCTGACATTTGAAAGGTCTTGCAACGTTTGAGTATAAAATTTTCAGCACGAGATGTTGAAAACAGTTTCACAATAAAATAGAAACATAGAAGAGATTAAGAAGCTCTGTTTTATTTTGCAAAATCAAATCGAAAAGTTCCCATAATCGAACCTTTTTAAAGTCAAGCTAGTCAGCCCCATTCAATCCTTCTCTTCTATCACCACGCCCAACCATAATCATTCCCACCCTAACCATCCAAACCTCCTTAAACAAAATGAAGGGACCCCACGACTCTCCCTTCTCCCAACTGCTTGGACCAATCCCTTCCGTAGTGACGTCCAACCCTGCTCATCCCATTCTTCTAAACTTGCTGCTTCCATATACAAAACAACGCTGCAACGAGTACCCTATATCGATGTGATAATTTTCTTTTTCTGTTAGCAACTGAGATCCTTGATGAAGGATTACGTAGTGTGCCCATATGAAACAGCCGTGCCACATTGAAGCCTCGAAACGTCCCTGGAGGAGGGGTTTCTAAATGTTTTCGTTGCTATTCAAGCTATTTCCGCTACCACTTTCAAAACCCTGACAACCACAATCACTCCCTATCTGAGATTAAGGCTAATCAGTCGGTCGCTTCTACTCCTTTTCTCCTTCTTCTGTTTTCACTCTATGTTTCATTTTCTATTCAAACATTTCTCCGTTGTTCATGTTTCGTTTTTCTTCTACGCCTTAAATGTGTAACTGTTCGACTAGATTTTTTAGAAGCTTTGCTACCAAGGGTTCATGATCTTTTACTTCTTATCTTGACCTTATTAGACTTGAAACGTTTTCTTGATTAACTTCTTCAGGCTTAGGCATGTTGAAGCAGCACTTTTTATGAAGGGCGAGATCTATTGCAAGTACCATAATAAAGTCATCTTTTGACAGGGAAACTTCCCGGTATCCCGGTAGGCCAGTTCGCCACTGAAGAAATATTCAAGAAAAAATAAAGCGATTTAGTGGCTTTAATGAAAAGAAGATAGTTCTCTGAATCTGTGTTTAGTCAAACTTTGACTATTTTCTACTTGTATTGGACTTCTCAGCAGCAAAATCTTGGCAAAACGTTTGAGAAGATTCAAAAACGTGTCCCAATAACTGCACAAAATGATCACCTTGGGTTGTATAGCGACTTACTTCTGAAATCAGATGCAATAGTAAACTATGCATATTTCCGTCTAAGAAATTTTTGTGTTTAATCAATGCTACACTAAGCTCATTTTGATATCTTTATTATGCTTCTTTAAGTGAATATTTCTCAAAAAATACCCTCTGACTTCCCATTTAATTTTTTTGATGTCATTTTTATCATCAATCAATCCTAAATGAGATCTAACAATACTTAACACCTGCAGCATTAAAAAAACTTGAAACTAAGATATATTAACAATAGGGAGTAACAACTAATTAAATTAACTTCACATCACATGCTTGTATTCAAGGTTGGCTGATCAATATTGATTGATGATTAAATGTTTGATTGACTGATTGACTGCTATGATGCTATGATTGACTGTTATGATTGACTGATTGACTGATTGATCGCTATGATTGATTGATTGACTCATCGATTTGACTGATTGATTGATTGACTGTTTGCTTGATTGCAGAACTTAAACAACCTTCAGCATTATTAACCAAATCAACCCAGAGTTTTAACAGT